TGCTATCGCTCCAGCCCCTCGCCTCTGCTTTGCCTCTAGCACCCAGTGTCAGTGATACACCTGCAAATCCCAGCTCAAATGTTAACCTTTTTAGAGACTTCTCACGACCACCCTGCCACTCCTGGCTACTTGGCTTGCGCTGGGTCAATCTGTGCGTACTTGATGAAAAGATACTTACACAACTGATAGGCATTCATGCCCCGTGTTCTGTTTATTATTTACCATATACCAACCACCTGGTAATGCCTCACATAATGGCACCAGTTTTTGTTTTGGGAGCCATACCCAGCAGTGCTCAGGGACTCTTCCTGGCTGTGCTCAGGAAGGACCCCTGGTGGAATATATGTGATGTCAGGGATTGAACAGGGACTGGCTTTATGCAAATACCTTCACCCCTGCACCATCCTTCCAGCCCTGCAGTGGCCACCTTATTGAATGACCATTTTCCTTGAATCCCACTATATAGGCTTCTGGCGGCATCTTCTGGTTCTTTGGGCTCCTGCCTCTCTACCAGCAGTTGTATCCATGGGGCAGAATGTGACTGTGAGGGCTGGAGCAATAGTACAGCTGGTAGGGCTTACTCTTGCCTCTGAGTTCAAGGATCACTGCTAGCCAGGCCCGGGGGACCATGTGGTATGCCTGGGATTGAACCCAGGTTAGTCACATCCAAGACAAACGCCCTACCTGGTGTATTATGAGACCAGAGAGATAGTCCAGGGTGGAGGGCATTTGCCTTGCATGTGGTCAACCCAGGTTCGATCCCAGGCATCCCGTATGGTCTCCCAAGCACCGCCAGGAATAGTTTCAGAGTGCAGAGCCAGGAGTAACCCCTGCACATCTCTGGGTATGACCCAAAAAAATCACACACATACCCCAAATTACATATATATTTGTTCGAGTGGGCACCAGTAATGCCTCCATTGTAAGACTTGTTACTGTTTCTGGCATATCGAATATGCCACAGGGAGCTTGTCAGGCTCTACGATGAGGAAGCGAACCCGTGTCGGCCGCGTGCAAGGCAAACGCCCTACTTGCTGTGCTACGGCTCCAAACACTGAAGAAGAGTTTAATAAAGGACTCAAGACAGAAGCCAGACTGAGGTTAGAAATCACATTTATTGGCCGATGACTTTACACAGATTTCAAACATTAGCAGAAGTTCAAGAGTCTGTCGGGTGAAGCCATTTCTTGCCAACAGTTAAAAGGTGGTCCGGGAGGAGTTAACTCAAGCAGCATCTTCAAGCTGAGTTTCTGGCTCTGAGCAAAGAGCTGGTGGGTGGGCCTGGTCCTTCTGCTCCGCGTGAATGGAGGCCTCTGAGGAGACCCTAGTTCTCATACTTGTGCTTGATGTGTTTCCACAGTTTCTGCATGTTAGAGACAAGAGGCCGACTTTCAGTTTCTCCTTTCATATTTTACACTCCTCCCACTGCCCCGGTCTTTAGAACAAGTGTGAGGTAAACGCAGACCATATCCTGGCCGTTGTGACGAGCAGGGCGGAATGGCACTCTGCTTGACACACATGCCTGCCAACATCTGTGGGATGCTTGGGCCGGCTCAATCACCCTGGGAATGACCATCTTTTTAAAGGAGATGGGGTGGGCGAGAGTGGCAGTACACTGGGTAGAGCATTTGCCTTATATGTGGCGGACCTGGGTTCAATCCCTTGCATCACATATGGTGCCCTGAGCAATGCCAGTAATGATCCCTGAGCAGAGCCAGGAGGACGCCCTGAGCACTGCAAGGGGTGCCCCCCCCAAAAAAAGGGGGGTAATGGTGATAGATTGTGAGAACTGCCCCAAAGCATGCATTCCTCCCTGCTTCCCCACTGCTGGGGTTCAAACCCAGAGCCTCACACATTAAGGCGTACGCTCCACTGCTGGGTCATAGCGCCAGCACAAAGCATGTGACTAATTATTAAGGAGCAGAACCTGGCCAACTCCTCGACTCTATCACTCAGTTATTACTACTGGGGTCACAAGTCTCCACATCAAATCTCACAGTGAGCCCTACCCCCCGCTTTTTTTTTAAATTTCCACAAATTGCTGAGTCTTGGATAGGAATGAGCTGTATTCTCATTCTAAAAAGCTTACAAAATGGGTTGTCACTGCTAAAGTGTTTAGGTATCTTTCCCAAGCAAGGGAATGGCTGTAGGAATTGCTTGCAGGAGGTCCAACAATGGCAACAGCATCTTCATAAAGTAAAATTGCACTGGCCACAGATGGCAAAGCATTAGCAGACAGAACTGACAGGGTGATAGAGTGAGAGAACCTTGGCCTTGTAGTAAAAACCAGGGGATGGGGCCAGAGAGAACTGAGCTGAGAACTCCTCAGCACCACATGTGGTTCAATCCCCAGCACTCACATGGTCTCCTAAGCCCCCAGGAGTGATCTCTGAACCCAGAGTCTGGGGTAAGCATGAAGTACTACAAGAGTGACCCCCTGCCCACACCCCAAAGTAAGTGAACGGTGAACCAGGGTAATTAGTATAAGATCTTCCTCAGTACTAGCCAATCGAAAGCGACAAAGGGAACAGAGAAGGCCAGAGAGCACAGCAGGGTGGGTGTTTTGCCTTGCATGTGGCTGACCTGGATTCGATTGGTCCCCTGAGCCCATCAGGAGCGATCCCTGAGTGCAGAGCCAGGAGGAAGCCGTGAGCATTACCGGGTATGGTCCAAAAAACAAAAGCAAGCAAGCAAGGGGATAAGGCAAGAGGTCAGTGGGCTACCACACATGCCTGGCCAACAGAAGGCCCAGGTTCAACCCCGCTGGCACTATATGGTCCCCAGTACTGCCAGGAGTAGCCCTGAGCATAGTGGGGTGTGGTCCTAAAACCAAAATGAATCGATCTATAAAGCAAGCCCAGTTCCTAGTGTACAATGAGCCTAAAAGGTGTTGTTCCCTCCCTGCATGCTTCCATTTTCTCCTAAAACATGAAATGATGGAAGGAAAGAAGGAAGAGGAAGGGAAGGAAAAAAGACATGATCTAGGAAGTTAGTTAAGGTGTGGAGGATTCATTCTTTACTTTTTTTTTGTCTTTCTGGGTCACACCTGGTGATGCTCAAGGGTTACTCCTTGCACCGTACCCAGGAATTACTAATGCCAGGAATAGAACCCATGGCAAAGAAAGTGCCCTACCTGTTGAACTATCACTCTGGCCCCTCGATCTTTTTGTAGAACACTGACCTTGCATGCCTGACCCAGATTTGATTTCTGGCATCCCATCTGGTCCCCCAGCCCAACCTGGAGTGATTCCTAAGCGCAAAACCAGGAATAAGCTCCAAGCACAACTAGATATAGTCTACCTCTCCTCCATAAAAAAAAAAAAAATGCAACTGATGTCTTTTTTCGACCTCCTGCTCAGGAGTTTACTTCTGGCTCTGTGCTCAGGGTTCATTCCTGCAGGGCTCAGGGACATTGGAATGCCGGAATCAAACCAGGAAGGGCCACGTGCAAGACAAGTGTCCTACCTATTGTCCTATTGCTCCTTCTCCAATGTCATTTTTTGAGTTGTATTACATACCAGGCACTGTGGCATCTTGCCTGTACCTCATCTAGTCCTCATACTCAGTCCAAGGTAGTTCCAATTATTTCTATTTCATAGATTCAAAGTGAAGCTCAGCGACTTAAAGAAACTTACCCAACTGAATGGCAATTATTAAGTGACAGGGCCTAGTTCATAGTCCCCACTCCTCCTACTACTACTAATCTCAAGCTCCCTGCGTGGGGCCCATGGGAAGAGAAGTGCCACGTGAAAAACCAGCCACCAGGTCAAAGAAAATGTCCTTATCACCACAATCGCCCTCTCAAACCTGCCCTTGAAAACCTCCGAAGAGGGCTGGCGAGATAGAACAGGGCTTTGCACGTGGCCAATCCAAGTTCGATCCCCGCGCCCCAAATGGTTCCCTGAACCCCTCCAGAAGCCCTGAAGACTGCCAGGTCTGACCCCAAAACTCCAAAGAAAACCTCAGAAGAGGCGAGAACAGGTTCCACCCCTGGAACCTGGCATTAGCGAATCCTGAGCTTTCATTAAAAACTTTCGGGTTTGGGGCTGGAGCAATAGCACAGCGGGTAGGGCGTTTGCCTTGCACGCGGCCCACCCGGGTTTGATTCCCAGCATCCCATGTGGTCCCCTGAACACCGCCAGGGGTGATTCCTGAGTGCAGAACCAGGAATAACCCCTGTGCAACGCCAGGTGTGACCCAAAAAGAACATAAAAAACCAAAAAACTTTCGGGTTTCTGCAAATGTGGGCGTGAGGGTGGGCGTCGGCAATGCAATGCTGCCAGCCCCTGCAAAGTGCAATCAATTGACCTCACACAAGTTCAGGGTTCACCCCATGCCGCGGGCACAGGCAGCAGCAGTACACACAGAGGGGCCCCCGGAGCCTACCCCTTCCCCATAAAGGGGGAGCGCGTCCCGCCCCGCCTCCACTGCCACTGTCACCCCTCAGGAGGGCCCAAGGTCAGGGACAGCCCAGGCCCTCACCCCCTGGTTGATCTGCTCGTAGATCGCGTCCGCGCCTTGATCGAAGGCGCGTTCGAAGAACAGGGCGCCCACGGCGATGGTGAGGGCGAAGGTGGAGGTCCTGCGGAACAGCGCCGAGTACAGCTTCGCGGTGATCGCCGAACCCGCCATGATTCTCCGCCGCCGGGCTCGCTCCTCCAGACCGCGCCGGGCCCGACCTTGCACCCCGCCCCCGCCAGGGGCCGCGGCGCGCAGCGCATTGTGGGATTTGTAGTTCATGTAACATCACGCGCACCGTTCGCTTTTGCCCCACAGAGGAAATTGATGCCTTAAGTTGGGTGAGGGGGGTAAATTGTCATATGAGATAGGTCAGGGAGACCCAAACAATATGCTAAAACGAAAATTGCCCGATTTTTAGCCTCTAGAACTCCGGGCTGATTAACTACGTGGAACTACAACACCCAGAAGCCCTTGCGCTCGACTCGCCCGCCCTCTTCCCCGATCCCCGAGTCTTTGCTTCGCAAAGGCTTCTGGGAAGAGCGGCGGCCACCGGCCGGGAGGGACTACAGATCCCAGCCAGCAGCGCGCCACGCAAGGGCAAGAGGAGGAGCTCGGAGCGGTGCGGCCCGGCGGCACCAGGTACCTTCTTTGGCGGGACCCGGAGCGGTCGAACCTGGTCTCCCCTTCCCCCCCGCCGTCCCCTCCCCTGCAGGACTTCTCCCGGCGCGCCGCACCGTCCACGTTGGCGAGACCGTGCGCCCGCTGCCCTCGGGGCTCCGCGGGGGTCTCTCAGCCCAGCCCCTCTCAGCCCCGCCGGCTTCTCTGGAGTTGGTGCCGGAAGTGGAGTCTGGGGGTGCAGGAGCTCTGAGCCTGGCCTGGGGGGGGGGAGGAACGGCCCTGCCGGTGCTTCCTGTTCCGCTCCCCTCGGGGGGCCGCGCCCTGGAAGGCGGGAGAGGGGAGGACGTTCCTGTCCTCTGGGGCGTGGGAGAGAACTGGGCGGGGGCTGGCCGGATCGTCGTGGAGGGGCGGCGCTCTCCGGGGTCATGCTGAGCACTGAGCCAGGAGCAGCCTCTGAGCACCGCCAGGAACAGGGATTTGGCAGCACCAGGGCTCTTCAGCAAATCTTTCCTGAGCCCCTTTGGCTGAGCTTTGTGCGGGGCACCCGGCGGGGAACCCCGGCTTGGAGCACCCTGAGTGTGTGGAGGTGGGGAGATGCGGTCAGGACGGTGTGGGAGACGCCTGAGGGCGCAGTCTTAGCTTTTCGAGATCTAGGGGGGGTCCAGGGTGACTTTTAACCGAGACCCCCATGAATACTGGTGGGTCAGGCAAAGGCCTTGAGGCTCTGCTGTCTGGGGGCGTTGGGAGGAAAGCAGAGCGGAGAGGTAGGCTCAGCTCCTATCTGTCTCTAAGGCCCGAGGGAAGAGGTCTTATTTTCTTTGTTAATTGTCGTAGGAAGGGTTTTAACTAGGGTGTAAGCATTCTAATTTATGTTTTAATATTCTGGCTGCTCCCTGGAGAGGAAAGGGAAACGGGCAAGTTACAGTGTGTCTGCAGAGGCGGAATCTCCTCTAGATTAAAGGTACGGATCAGAGAGATGGAAAGTGAATATTGCGCTTGCCTTGCACGCTGCAGACCCAGGTCTCAACCCCCGCACTCCACACGATCCTCAAGTCCTGCCAGGAGGAATTCCTGAGTACAGAGCCAGTAGTAAACCCTCAGCATCACCAGGTGTGGCCGCAAGACAAAACAAAAATAAAGGTGTGGATTAGCGGAGTGATCAGATTTGGGATGTATTTGGGAAGGAAGGACAAACTTCTGACAGGTGCATGTCACTTGTAAAGAGGAACCTAGGATGACATCTAAGTTTTGTTTTCTGCTTTCCTTTCTTTTGCAGTAGCCAGGATCCAAATCAGGTTCTTATGGCGTGCAAGGCAAGCGCTCCACTGCTGATCTCCATCCCTTGTCCTGACATCTAAGTTTTGTTCTGATGGTTTGGTTTGAGCATCTTTTCCTGGCTCTGTGTCCCGGGGACCATGTGGTGCTGGCGGTTGCACCCCAAGTGCACTCAGCCTGTCGTGACCTCTCCATGCATGAGTGCAAGAACTCAATTTTGAGAGGGAAGTTTTGTTTTTTTTTTCAGTGAGTCTGATATATTTGACAGATTCAACAGTAAAACTATTCACCGAAGTTTTTTGTGAACGCAACTAGGGAAGTCTCAACTAAGTTGACTTAAGTTTTGTCTAGATGATTGTATATATTTTTGTGTCTGGGCCACACCCAGTGGTGCTAAGAGCTGCTGGTTCTGAACTCAGGGATCACCCCTGGTGGTACTTGGGGCACCATATATGCCACCAGGAATGGCTGCGCGCAAAGTAACCACCTTAACGGCTATACTGTCTCTTCAGTCCTAGATGATTGATCACATTTTTACTAATTTTTGTGATGTAAGGATAGTTTCGAGTTTAAATCAGCAAAGAATTTTTATTTCCTTGTCAGTTGTGGAACCCAGGTCCTCATACATGTCATACTTCTGGGCCACAACCCCAGCCCCTGTGGCGATGATCTTAACTTCAGCTATTTGATCATGTTAAATTTACACGGCAGAGCCTGGCAAGCTACCCTTGGCGTATTCGATATGCCAAAAACAGTAACAATAACGGGTTTCATTTCCCTGAAAGAGCCTCCAGTACAGCGGCGTTGGGAAAGACGAGTAAGGAGCGGCTGCTAAAATCTCAGGGCTGGGACAGATGAAGACGTTACTGGCACCTGCTCGAGTAAATCAATGAACAAAGGGATGACAGTGATGCAGTGACATTTACACGCTCCTTAGACATCAAGCGGTGTTCCAAGGCCACTAGGATTTGGAGTTGAAGTGTCCAGACCAGGGACTAAAAACCTTTGGGATAGGGGTGCGGGGGGAGGGGGGGAGAGCGTTTAGTGGAGTGGAGTGCATGCTTTGCATGCAGGAGCCTCAGTTCCATACCCAGTACCGTATCCCCATCCCCAGCACCTCTGCGTCTGGCACCAGAACAAACAAACATCTTTGGGATAGGTGAGGCATTGAGAACCAGGAACTGGTTTCCAGGATTGCCTCATTAAAAGCAACAGTAATGCCATGTTAGGAGCCAGGGAAAAAGGTACAGTTGCTCCCCCATAGGTGCTGCATTATCCTTCCTGCAGTTATTTACTTAATAATTGCAAAGTATCCTTAGGAGAGAATCTTGGGTGCTTCCTGGGAAAGAAGACATACGTTATTTATCGGCCACAAATCTGACCTTGGGGAAGTTCAGAGGAAGGAGGAATCATTTTAGGGGGCAAGGGTAGAGAAGATCACAGGAAATTAATGTGTGACTTGTTGCTTTACTTGCTGTCTTTATTGAGGGGGATGGGGAGTGGCAGGGTGAGCCATACGTGGCAGTGCTCGTTGGCTTCTTCTGACTGTACTCAGCGGAAACTCTTGGCAGTTCTCAGGGGACCAGATGTGCTTGGGGTCAAACCAGGGTGGGCTGCATGTAATATATGTAGAGCGTTTGCCTTGCATGCACTCAACCCAGGTTCGATCCCCAGCATCCTATATGGTCCCCCAGCTCTGCCAGGAGTGATTCCTGAGTGCAGAGCCAGGAGAAACCGCTGAGCATTGCTGGGTGTGACCCAAAAAGCCCCCAAAACAAACAAAAACTAACTTTCGTTTTGTGGTCACATCCCTACTGCTTAGTGCTTACTCCTGGCTTTGTGCCCAGGGATCACTTCTGGTGGTGCTTAGGGGTCCTTATGTGGTTCTGAGGATCAAATAGGGTTTTGCAATATGCACGCAAGAGCCTTAACCTCTATCCTGTCTTTCCAGTCCCCAAACCTGGCTTTTTGAAGTAATTGGTTTTCATTTAGAAGTTATTATTCTGTACATGTCTAGAAAAATAAGAAAAATGACCTTAATTTTTCTTTAGTTTCATGTTTGAACTCACATTGGACAACTCCATTTCTTTAAACATTCAACACTATTTCCAGCTTGATTATATTCCCTTACATCTTTACTTGTAAATTTAATATATTTGATTTTCTTCTCATCTACTTCAGATATGTAACCTAAGAAGTCCATTTCCCATAGATTACTTACTAGAAAAACCCAATATGTTAGACTTTTTCTCTTATTTATTTATTTTTTGGGTTTTGGTCCAGGATCTAAGAACATGCTGAGACAAAGGCTATAGATCCTGTTTCCCCCTTGTAGAAATGCTCTTCTAAGGCAGTAGATGATGATTGAAAAATGGGGACGGGGGCAGTGGAGGGGAGGAACTTGCCTCAGATCACACGGACAAGTCCAGCCAGTGCTTATCCCGGTCACTCAGCGCTGGTCTGAGGCTCAGCCCTGCCACATTAGGGCTGTGAGACTCTCTGGAAGCAACCCTCTGACTAGCACCGGCTCAAAGGGCTGGAACTCAGGGCAGAAGGCACTGGGTTTAATCCCCAGGACCACATGCTCTCCCTCCCCAGGGATACCGGGTTGCGCAGAGACTGGAATAACCCCTGCGCATCACTGGGTGGAACCCTTCCCCCCAAAAATGACCGCAGCTTCTATCCTGGTATATCCCTTTCTCTGACCATTTGCAGCGGGTAAGCCAACTGCTCTGTCATGAGCAGCCATGTGGCAAGGTCCCTGTGGCAAGGAACTGGAACCTTCTGCTACCACCCATGAGCTGACATAATTAACAGCAGGCCTTCCAGCCCCAGTCAAATCTTAGGAAGCGGAGCCCTAGCCGACCTCTCTTTTTGTCTATTTGGTTTTAAGGTCAGCCCTGCAGTGCTCAGGATTACTCCCAGCTCAGTACTCAGGGTCCAAGTGGTACTGACGCCCAAACCCAAGACTCCCACTTGTCAAGCCTGCACTCCCATCCTCTGAGCAGTCTCCCACTGAAACCCTGACTGCAGCCTCAGGAGAGGCTGAGCCAGAACCTGACATCTCCACCTGTTTGGGAATCACACTGGGCAGTGCTGGTGGCCCCTGCTCCTAACTCGGTGCTCTTCAGGGACTGCTCCTGGCAGACCTCAGAGGTCCACATAGTGCCAAGGACTGAACCTAGAGCCCCCACATGCAAAACATGCAGAATATTCAGCCTTTTGAGCCTCCTCTGGGCCTGAGATCTAAATGTCTTTCTAAGAGGGGGTTTGGGCCACCCAGTGGTGCCCAGGCCTTACTCCTGGCTCTCTACTCAGGGATCACACTCCTGGTGGTACTCAGGATCAAACCCAGGTCATCCACCGTACTCACTGTACCATCTCTCCAATCCCCACACACACCTTCCCCCCCCCCCGCCCCCCCCGGCTTTTTGGGTCACATCCAGTGATGCTCAGGGGTTACTCCTGGCTTTCCACTCATGAATTGTGTAAACACACAAAAATAAAAAGGCCGGCGGCCAGGCCGTTTCCCCACTCCACAGATGTCGATGGCGATGGTCAGGCGAAGGAAGGAAACGAGGCCAAGCTGGTTGGTCTTAGCAGCGATTTATTACACGGAAGAGATGTATGTCATGGAGGCTTCAGGAGTTCTCAAGCACATGCACCTTTGTTCTCTCAGCTTCTGTCCTCAGCCCCATCTTCCCAGGTTCTCTAATGCACTGTCCCCCCAGAGAGCCCTGAAATCT